GGGGGGGGGGGAAGGGGAGGAAAGAGGGGGGCGAAGGGAAGGCAAAAAGAGGGCCAAGGGCAGGAGGATGGGAGCGCTCTCAAATAAGGACCACCGGCAAAAGGGAGTGCAGCAACAACAAACAACGAGTACGGAACAGGAGAGAGGGAGGAAGAGGGAGGAGGAGGGAGGAGGAGGGAGGAAGGGAGAGAGAGAGAGAGAGAGAGAGAGAGCAAACGCACTTGCGCGCAACCTTGGTCGACAGAATGCCCGGGGTGTCGACGAAAACGATCTGCACATTCTCGCGCGTCAGGATGCCGAGGGTGTTGGTGCGCGTGGTGTTGGCCTTGCGCGAGGAAATGGACACCTCGCCACCGATCAGGGCATTCAGCAGGGTGGACTTGCCGGAGTTCGGCGTGCCGATGATGGCCACGCGGATGACCCGCGGCTCCTTCACCTGGGAGGCGGCCTTCTCCCGGGCCTCGGTGGTGGCCTGGTACTGGAGGTTCACCTGCTCCGCGTCGAAGTCCTTCAGCGGGTGCTTGATCGGGTCGGTCTGGGTCAGGCGCGTCAGCTGGGCCCAGTCCTCGTTCTCCGAGTCGGTGCCAGCCACGAAGTCCTCCTCGGCGGCGGCGGCGGCGGCCGCGTCGGCCGGGGCGGTGCCGGCGACCGCCGCGGCCTTGGCACCCGTCGAGAGGAGGTGCTCCGTCGGCGACACGGGCCCCAGCCGCGGGCTGGTCACCTCCAGTGGCAGGGGGTCAATCGAGATGGCCGAGTCGCGGAGCTGGAACTCCGGGTCATAGAGCAGCGTCGAGGAGTTGGCCACGGAGCGGCTCAGGCGCGGGATGTAGCCCTTGGCCGGGGTGGGCTGGGTGCGCTCGGGCAGCGGGTACTCCGACAGCCGACCTGGCGTGCCAGGGCCGCCCAGGGCGCCTGGCGCGCCGGCCTGCAGCGACCGGAGCAGACGTTCATTGTGCGACAGCGGCCGATCGGGCAGCGGCTCCGGCGCCACGAAAGACGCGAACTCCTGCCCGGCCCCGGCGAGAGCCTGCGGCCGGGGCAGGACCGGCATGCTTGGCGGGGGGGACGCCGGCATGCCTGGCGGGGGGGACGCCGGCAGGCCTGGCGAGGGGGGTGCCGGGGCTGGCGGGGTGGCCGCAGGCGCCGGGGCACTGGCCGGGGTGCCGGCGCCCTGGGCCAGGCGCAGCTGGTCCAGCATCTGGGCCCGGCGATTGACCGAGTAGTGTCGGCGCGGGGCCGGGCGCTCTAGCAGGACATCCAACAGCGGAATGGCCGGCGCCCGGGGGCCCGAGCCGTGGCCTGGCAGCAGGTGGCCCGGCACCCGGCGAACCAATGACCAGCGGAGCATTGCGCGCGCGTGTGTGTTTGTCTGTGTGTCTGGCTGTGTGCGTGTGCGTGTGCGTGTGCGTGTGTGTGTGTGTCTTGGCGTGGGCAGATCCGCTCCGCTCGCGTGGTTTTACGGTCCGGCACGCTGCTCGAGGCTCTTTCTCTTCCCCTGCCTACGTGGAGATTTCACCTGACTGAGGCGAGGGCGTGGGGCGCGGTACAGCAGGCGCCGAAGGAAGTGGGCGGAGAGAGGGTGGGGGGGGGGGGAGAGGAAGGGGAGCCGTGCGGTGCTTGAAACGCTCTTGATAAACCAGCGGCAGATCCCTCGTGCACGGGGCAGCCAATGCAGAGACCCGGGAGAAGGGAGGGGCGGAGGTGGCGATGGGCCTGTGACAAGGCCGCGAGAGTGCGAGGGTAGAGGGGCGCAGGAGATATGGATGTGCAAAGGAGAGGGGGAGGGAGGGGGAGAGAGAGAAGGGGGATACCCGGTTCCCGGCATGCTCCAGGCAGCCCTCGCCAGGACCGTTGAAAAATGTATGTCCCCCCCCTCGGATCAGGCACATGCCGAACGAGGAAGCAGGGGACAAGAGGCGGGCCCGGGCCCCGGCGACGATGGCGATACATGGCATGGCCCGGGGACCACGCTCGGGGCCACGCCGCCGGTCCGTGGGTTGGCAGCTCATTGGGAGTTATCATGTGTGTGTATTGTCATGCAGGGGGAGGTCAGCCGGCGCAGGGGGCGGGGGGGGGGGGGCGGAGACCGACACCGGCCGGCGAACAGCTGGCCTCTCGGCCCGGCCCGCCATCCCCCCCCCTTTCCCTGCCAGCCGGCTCTACTTGGCGGCCGAGGGGCCGCCGGCTCCCGATCCATTGCGGGCTGGGGTATTGTCGGGTGTGGCCGTTGGCGCGGCCGGTGCCGGTGCCGGTGCCGCCCCGGAGGATGTGCCCCCGGCAGCCGAGCTGGCCGGGGTGCTGCCCTCCGAGGCGGACTTGTCGGCGGGGGAGGGCTTTTCGCTGGCCGTCGAGGACTTGTCACTGGCCGCGGGCCGATCGGCGCCGGGCTTGTCACTTGAGGCGTGCCCGCCGCCGCCGCCACCGCCGCGGCTGCCACCCGGGCCGCCGGTCGAGGCGCCGGACCCACTGGCCCCCTGCTGCCGGGGGAGGCTATCGCGCGAGGCGTTGATGACATCCATGACGGCCTGCGAGCCGGGCGAGCTGGGCGCCTCGAAGGGGTCCTGCCCGGGGAGGTTCAGCACGAAGACCTGGGAGATGGACTTGAACTTCTCGTCGCTCTCATCGTCATCATCGAAGAGGACCAAGTAGTCGTTGCCGGCGCGCCGGAGCGAGGGCGGCTGCACGACAGTGGCCTCGTAGAAGCATGTGGTGCCGGGATACAGGCAGAGGACCTTCTTGAACCGGGGGAACTCATGCGGGACGTAGTTTGTGGCGTTCTGCCGGGAGCGGGGCGGGGGGCGGGGGGGGGGGGGGGAGGGAGAGAAGGAGGAGGAGAGAAAAGCATGTGTGTACGTGCGTGTGTATGTGAGAGAGGGAGGGAGAGAGCACCGGCCAGGGCGCCACTGGCAGGCGAGGAAACACCAGCGGAGCAATGGCAAAGGGGCGTACCTCCTTCGGCGGCTCGGGCAGACTCTTCGGCAGGGGGATGATCATGTCCGAATTGAGGGTATACCGCTTGGGGGGCTCCTGCTCGTCCTCGTTCTCGGCGTCGGTCACCTCGTACCGCGTGCGGGACAGGCGCCTTCGCCGGGCAGCCGCGCGACCAAGGGCATGTTAGCCGAGCAGCGACAGGGGAGGCGGGCGGGCAGCGAGCAAACAAAGGTCCATCCACCAAACGGACACCCACGCACCGTGACACCTCGGCCAGGATCCACTCCTGAGTCTTGGCCTTGCCCTTGCCGGTCAGTGCGGCCACAAAGTCCCCAGGGGCAAAGACGGCCCCGGGCTCGGCCGGAGTCGGCCCGCACAGGGGCGGCGGGTTCTTGCCCTTGTAGATGCTGACATTCTTCTTCTGCGGGTGGATGGGTCCCCCGCCCCCGCACCCCCGATCAAGGTAGGCCGAGAGTCAGACACACGCATCCAGGAGGCCACCCGGCCCGAGGCCACGGAGGGCCGGGAAAGGGCCGGCGCAAGAGGAGGCCACACAAGCAAATGGCCCCGGGCCGCTCCCCCCCCCCCTCCCCCACCTCCCACAACCGGGCCGGCCCTGCAGGTTGCCATGCTACGTACCACGCGCTCCTCGATGGGGGACTCGAACTTGGGGCGCTTGCGGGGGTGGTCGGCCGACCCGTCCAGCCGACTGGCCGAGTCGTCGCGGCGCGAATGGCCATCGGCTTCGCGCTTGGCGTCGGAGCCGGCCCGCGAGCCGCCCGGCCGGCCGCCCCCGGCTCCGCCGCCCGGGCTGTCGATGGCCGGGGAGCTGCCCCGGCCGCCGCGCGAGGCCGATGGCGAATCGCGCGATGACCGGCTCCCGGCGTTGGCCACCGCCAGCGACCCATGCGAGGAGGAGCCGGACGCGCTGCCGGGCCCGCCGCCGGAGCCGGGCCCGCCGCCGGAACGCCCGGACCCGGACCCATCACGGTGCGACCCATGCCGCGAGCTGCCACCGGGCCCGGCGCCACCATCGGCCGAGGCCCCACCCCGGCCGGCCCGGCTGCTGGAGCCCGACCCGGCCGTGATGCCAGGCGACTGATGGGACCCGCCGCCGGACATGGCCGAGTGCGAGCCCCCGGGCCCGGTGCCGCCGCGGTAGTCCGACCGGCCATCCTCCGGGCCGGCCCCCTCCGAGGTCACATCCACCAGCAGGTCCCCGGAGGGGGAGCTTTCCACATAGGGGATGGCAATTTCCGGGGTGTAGGTGTCCTCCAGGGTGGTGGCCGCGCGGGTCATGCGCCCGACGGCGCGCTGGAAAAACTGGTTCAGCAGCAGGACCTGGTGCTCCTGGTTGGTCTTCAGAGGCAGCAGGTGCGTCAGGCTCCGGTAAATGTCATGCAGCAGGGCGTCACACTTGTCCGGGCCCAGCTCCGCGTGGTTCCGGCAAAAGTACAGGATCTTGTCGTGCGTCACGGCCGACAAATCGGCCGAGAGCTCTTCCAACTCGCGGATCTGCAACACGCGCGCAAGGGGAAGGGCCGGGGGCGGGCAAATGGCGGTCAGAGGGTCGGTCGCCCGGCCGGGTCAGCCAAGGGGAAGGAACAGGCCGTGGGTCGGGGAGGACCGGGCCACAGGGGGCGCCGGGGCGCCGGGGCACCGGAGCACCGGGCGGGGCCAGAGAGGGGGAGGGGCGAAAGGGAACATACATTGGTCAGGCGCTTGCGCCACTCCTGGGCCAGGTGCTCGGCCGTGTCCAGGAACATGTCCAGCTCGCGCATGGCCTTAAAGTCGTCGGGGGCCGCAGTCGAGCCGGCCGCCGCGGCGGCGGCGGCGGTGGCGGTGGTGGCGATGGCGGTGGCGGTGGCCGGCCCGGCGGCGGGGGGCCCGGTCACGGTCGACGGGGCGGCCGATGCCGCGGCCGCCGACGAAGCCGTCGCCGCAGTCGCGGCCGGCGTCGACTGCGCTGCACCGCCCCCGCGGGACGCCTGGCTGGCAGCCTTGCCTTGAGAGGCCCCGCTGGCGGACTTGGCACCCGGTTTGTTGGCGGACTTGCCCGACCCGCCACCGGAGGAGCCGCTGCCCTTCGAGGAGGAGGAGGAGGAGGAGGAGCCCCCGGAGCCGGACGAGGAGGACCCCTGTCGCGCTGAGGCGCCGGAGCCCCCGACCGGGGGGGTGCCGGTGCGCACGGCCGTGGCGCGTCGCGACGTGGCGGCCGGCCGCGCCGAACCGCCCTTGCCGGATGCCTGCGCCGGGGGGGCCGGCGCCGAGGAGGCCGACGGCGGGCCGCCTGCCGACATGGTCACTTGGGGGGGGGAGGAGAGAGGAGCAGGGGAGGAAAGAGAGAGAGAGAGAGAGAGAGAGGGGGGGGGGTCGGCCGGGGAAAGGGCGTGCAGCAGGGGGAGATGTGGGGACACGGAGGCAGATGCGCTGCCCTCGACGCGGGCCCTCTCCCCGGGGGTGGGGGCATTTTCAGCGGGGATCAGCCCGCTAGTGTGTATCCCCCCCTCTGCCCGGGGAGCAAACACGACCGGGGGCCTCGGGGGTCTCACGGTGTGTGGTGCGCGGCCGCGCCCGGCCGGGCGACTGGCTCCGGGGGATCGACACCCCGGTGTCTCCGTTGGCATGTGGGCATCGCCGGTTGTGGGTGCGATGTCGGCCACTGCCGCCAGAGGTGTGTGCGAGGGGGCGGGGGTCTGGGG